ATATTTTTAGATATATATATATATATATATATATATATATATATATATATATATATGATATATTTTTATCTAAAATGTGTCTTATTATCTAACAAATAGAAGACATATCGCTTTTATATTATCAAAATATTTCGAACTATTTTATTTTTGGATATGTATTTACACAATGTATATTCAATAATTTTATATTAATCTATTATATTCAGTTATTAATCTTCTAAAGAGAAGATTAATATATTCATAACATAAATTACATGATAAAATTGATTTATTTATTACTATTCAATACATAAAATTAATTAAAAAGTGTATTGATTTTCAGTAATTACAGAAAATTACGAATGTTCTTGCTATAGAACTTTTGATTAAAATATGAGAAAAAGTAAAACTTGACATATATCAACACATAAAAATTGCAATTATCATCACAAACTTAGTACAAATAGGATTAATCAAGATGTTAATATCTACCTATTAAAGTATGCCACTGATATATATAATGTTTGATTTTTGAATGTATCACTGTATTGCGATATGTTATAAGATTCTTCATTGTTCTAAACTATACCATTTATAATTTTGGTTTTAATTGTAATATACAGGGTGTCCCAAAGCACCCTTGACAACGCTCGTGAGCAAGTAGAGCACAGTAAACTGAACAGAAAAGTCCTGTAACATTTTTTTTTTATAACGCTTAATAAAGGAGTTATTATTGAATAACGTCTGGCCAATCAGCGTCGACCTTTAGCCGCGCGCCTGGTAGTGTGCGTGAGCGCTCCGTCGCTACGGCGACACACACTAACAGACGGGCGGCTCACTGACGTGCGTCCGGCTAAAAATCGGCGCTGATTGACCAGACTTTATTCAATAATAACTCTTTTATTAAGCGTTATAGAAAAAAATGGTACAGGACTTTTCTGTTCAGTTTACTGTGCTCTACTTGCTCACGAGCGTTGTCAAGGGTGCTTTGGGACATCCTGTATACAGCGCGATGCAACGAATCATATACAGGGTGAGTCATTTTAATCAATACACGCAAATATCTCGTAAAGTAAGCAAAATGGAAAAAAATGTTTTATACAAAAGTTGTATGATTCAGAGGGGTACACATGATGTATATATATATATATACTGTTAAATAATTTATATGATCCTCAACATTTTGTATATTAGCTGCATATTATAAAAATGAAGATACAAATCTATGGGTATGTGTGTATATAGTGCCTTTAAAATGCTGTTTTTAAGTAAAGCGAACATGTCAAGCAATATTTATCTTTTTATATTCCAGCTTTAAAAAACATTTGGTCTCTTGTTAATGTCATACTGAATTATGACGTCAGAAGCAAAAGAAATCACGATTTATTTCTTGTGAAATATATCGAAATAAATAAGTTTGTTTTTAATGCGACTATTCGTGTTTGATAATATGGATTAGTAAAATACACCAAAACTCTCCAAACTTTTTCTGTTATTTTCCATTAATAAATGTATGTATAATGTATTTGCATATGTTTTACATTTTCAGCAAAAATGGATTTTATGACGATTAATCAAGATTTATAGCTATCCGAAAAAAGTCCACATATCCCAGCAAATACATATATTATAACAGTTATATAACATTGGAAAAAATTAAAATAACAGCTGTTATATATTTATTATAAAACTGTTATATAATTATTTTATTTTTTTTTTGTTTTTTTGAATCGCGTATATTTTATCACTTATTCCTTGGTTTTGTTCCTTATTCCTTCGTTGTGCGTTGAACAATTGATTTTCAAAGGTTGGAATGCAACTGTTCCTAAATCCTTATTCCTAATCGCTAATATTTGTTCCCTGTTCCTTATATTTTTTATTGTGCGAGAGCCTTAACTGTAATAAAGTTAATATATAACATAAAAATAGTACTCTGCCGCTAGTTCGTTTGTTTATCGCTACGCGAACGCGATGCGCGTTATCTCGTATTTGAGTTTTAGTCATGAGAATTATATAAAGCTTGCAAAGATCAATTGGCAGGAGATATAAAATGTAATTATTTCGATCAGTTCAATTTCTGATGCAATCCCAACATAGGGAATTCCGATATTGGACTGATTGTTTAGAAATAGGGCAGATAAATGTCCGAAAAAATTAAAATTATTCGTTTATTACGTTATATAAAGGTTGATGTCCTTCCTCTCGACCCCACCAAGTAAACGACCGCGTTAGTGAATCGGTAATTGCTTCCTTCAAACACAAATTTACGGCTTCTTTTAAGTGGAAGCCGCCGATGTATTGGAAGTACTTTACCTGAAAAAATAAGATTAATTGAAATGTATAATATATATGTATTTATGAATTGGATATGTCAAACTGAGGTATAAATTTTCGTGGCAGTAAAATACCAATAAAATTAAAATGTTTCATAGCTGATGCACCAGCTTGAGCTTTTATTTTAAATCATCGTGGTCATATGTCTGGTCACCCTTGTTCTAAGTGCAAAATTTCTGGTACACAAAGCGAAGGTCGTAACGTCTTTAATGGTGTAAATCATCCTCTTCGCACCGATGAAGAATATTTATTACGCATAGATGAAGATCATCACAAAGAGAGTACAACCCCATTATCTGTACTGCCAATGGGAATGGTTTCGAATATATGCATCTTGTATGCTTAGGTGTTATGAAAAAATTTTTGTCTGCGTGGGTACATGGCAAATACTCACGAATATCGAAGCTTTCGGGAAGATCTATTTCTAGAATTAGTGATCGTTTAAATATTAAAAAAAATATTGTCCTACAGAATTTGCAAGACGCAATAGATCTTTGGATGTATATTCGAAGTATAAAGCAACAGAATTTCGCCAATTTCTTCTCTATATAGGGCCAGTTGTAACGTATGGTATATTGAACGAACAAATGTATAAGTACTTTTTACTCTTACACGATTCTATAAGAGTTTTGGTCTCAAAGTGTCCATCGAGAAAGCATCTCAAATTTGCAGAATCCGCGTTGCAAAAATTTGTGCTTTGTTGTGTCTCTCTTTATGGTCCAAAGAACCCCGCACTAATCATATGGAAAATCATTTTGTTCAGTAGGTCATAAGCTACAACATATATAAAAACCAATTGATTTGACCGGGACAGATTTTCCATATGATTAGTGCGGGGTTCTTTCAATAGCTACAATTTCCATGGTCTTCTTCATCTCATTAATGATGTTAAACGTCTTGGCAATTTAGATTCATTTTCCGCTTTTCCATATGAAAGTAATATGTCGATTTTTAGGAAGTATTGTAGAAAACCGGCTCTACCTCTTCAACAATTTTGCAACAGAATGACAGAGATAAGACATCACGGGCTACTCCATAATCTTAATAACGAGTCATCCATTCGCGTATCAATGCCACGTAATAATGATGAAAATTGTCATCATTATTCTAAAATACAATTTAATGGAATATACCTAAGTACTGATGTGCAAGACAATTGCTGTATTTTACTTGATGGATCGATTTGTATCGTCTTAAATATTGTCGCAGACAATTTATATCGTTTGACTATTAAACGATTTTTAGAGGTAGATAATTTTTATAACATCGGCATGAAATCCTCAGCCTTTCAAATATATAAATGTGGCAGCGTTAGCAGCGAAGTCGTTCTTATTAACTTGAATGAAGTGAAATCGAAATGCTACAGAATGCCTCTCTGGGAAAATACATCACTGGATGACAGTGACAGTGATGAAGATGATATGGAATCATCAAAATACATTGTCGCAACTATTATACACACGGAATAGATGAAAAGTATGAAATGCATTCTTTCATCATATGATTACAAGAGTTTTTAGCAAATTATTTATATATGTTGCATATTATTAATGTGCATATATGCATGTGTAGAAATGTAAACAATGTAGATGTGTGTGTGTGTGTGTGTGTGTACTCTTAATATACAAAATATATTTTGTTTTTATACTTAAAGATATATGGATCGGCTAAAGCGCTTCGTTAATAAACCCTCGCGGTATTAAACGACGTCTTCGGATGAAAGTCCAACAAAGCGAAGGAGGAGCACGGTAGTAGCTACTATTGGATCAGGGATGATCGACGAGGACTTCGAGGACATCAGCAAGATGCTGGATGAGAATCCTATTTTAAATAATAATACACACATGGCACACTCACATACACAACATACACCACAACGCACGCGCATACATCGCCGATCGTACTCCAACAGCAACACCCACACAATACAGAAAATTTTACACTTACTACTAATTGTAACAAATCATATTATACTAATAATACTTTGCCTGAGTTACAGGAAACCGCAAGAACCTGGCCCATGCAGCAACCAGACACACGCCATCATCATCGTGATGAAAATGTAGGATATGGTGCCCATTATTCACAAGAAATCACGCAAAAGAAAAATACAGAGAAAAGGTACCCTCATATTTATTTGTACGAAAATTTATAAGAAAAATATGAGTTTGTCAAAAGGATGTACTTGTAATATATATATTTATATATGTTCCAAATTCGAGCAATTATAAATTGTTTTCGTTTCTTGTTTTATTATTCGTTTTAGAATCTTATTCGATCGATATGTTTCGGGCTCGCTCTCGACCTTTTCGCAATGTCTTGTAAATCAAAACAACATGATCGCGTTGAAAAGCCATATATGAATTGGAATGTTTTGCTCCCGCAATTCCATATTTGGTCAATCTTCGAGAAAGGCTTTCCAATTGGTTCCAATACCAAGATTCAAATCAAATATGTGTGAATAGCTGTTTTCTTCACCAGTGCGACCACAAGGATCGTTAAGATTCTGAGTCCGCGTCTCTCCAACGAAACACATAGAGCAGTGCGAATCGAGAAGACCAAAAGACAAATCCCGTGCCGTCGGTTTTGGAACTCTGTACAAAACGACAAATTAATAATAAAATAATCTCAGTTACCAGATCACATCAGAATCACCTTCTCATTTTTTATTTCCGACCAGCAATTATCTTACGAGAGAGCGATTCGGTCTCCAACCTTGAATTCGTGTAACTCGTGAACAATATATAATTACAGGAAAGAAGAGGATCGACTCGATCGCGTGGAGGCCGAACTGAAGTAAGTATGAAATATATCATATTTATTAATATAAGACATTTATTTCAAAATTTAACTTCCCAGCAAGCAAAATGATGCAAACTTTGCGCAAAGTTTGCAGCAAACCCGAGCATGCTTTTGCAGCAAAATTGTGACAAGGTGTGTCCGCAGAAAGCTTAGCTTTTGCTGGCAAGGCTTGTCGCAATAGTGTGATGCACATTTTGCGCAAATAATAGCGATGAATAAACGAACTATCGGCAGAATACTATATTTTTGTAAAGTTTGTAATAAAGTAAAGTTGTAAATTTGCTGTCATGCCGTGCATGGCAAGGTTTGCTCTGTTATTTGCGTGAATTTTGCGTCTCGTTGTGCCAGAGTATACTTTGCTCTGTTCTTTCCGTAAATGTGTTATCATATTGTGTACAATAAGATTTGCTCTGTTCTTATCGTAAATTTGCTATTATAGCGTGTATAACAAGATTTGCTACTAATTGGCGTAAAGTTTGTGTCACACCGTGAATTAGCATCATACGTGTTCTTCTATGCGTAAAATTTACGGGCAAGCCTTTTCCTATTATTTACAGCATCGTGAGACGAAAAATTTTGCCGTCAATTTGCTTCAAACTTTTTGACAAACCAAAACAAGACAAATGATTGCTACAAAATTGTTGTCAAAATTAAAGCACACCTTGTCGCAAAGCTTTGGCAAAACGTGATTTTAACATTCTTGGCTATTTGGGTTTGTTTAATCTTTTTGTTTCCAGAAGAATGAATGGACTATTACAAAAAATATTAAAATGCATACAAGATCGCCATTTCGTATCACAGAAGCCAGCTGAACTTCCCATCTCATCAATACAACAGATGGACGCATTTGAAAACATCGATGATAATGATTATTCCGATGTTGTAAGTAAGAACAGTTTTGCCCTTATTAATTCATAAATACATATATATTATACATTTCAATTAATTTTTTCAGGTAAAATACTTCCAATACATCGGCGGCTTCCACTTAAAAGAAGCCGTAAATCTCATTAATTGATTGTTACTACAATTGTTCCTTATAGTGTCCTTCAAATTTCAAATGTGACAGCATTCTATACACGCGCGCACGCACGCACAAACACACACACACACACACACACACACACACACGCACGCACCGCACATACTCACGCATGCACATACAAACACATGTAATGATATTTTTTATATATATGTATATGTTATAAAACATTATATATCAAATATATGTAAAATATATATACATTTTTATAATTAAATTGCTTTCTTCCATTTATATTCCTTTCCGATTTCATCATAAATAAAAGAAAAGAAAATACATTTAAATATATAGCAGTATAGATCAGGGATTATTAAAAAGTCAATGCGCGTCGTGTTCATTTAAACAGCTGATTATGTACAGAGTCTGCTCGATTTCTGCTGTCAATCTGCTCTCAGGTTATGTGCGCAGGCTCTGCTCGGTTTCTGCCGTCAATCTGCTGCCAGGTTATGTGCGCAGGCTCTGCGCGATTTCTGCTGCCAATCTGCTCACATTGCCTGTCTGCAGACTTTGTCGACAAAACACGATCTTAATGCGGACACAGATAGCTATGGTTTTGATGTGGGATTCTGATTAAATTTGCTGCCAATCTGCACGCATTCTGCTAACATTTTGTTGTCTGGGAATTAAATGTATAACTGCTATCAGAGAGAAGAATGAGTCGCTACGCTGCCGTTTTTAGTGAGACGCTTTTTCTAGGTCGTGCACTAGCGTCACGTACATCCATTTTACGCCACCTAGAACTACATAGCCACATCCACTTTCGGAGCCGATAAAACAGCCGATTGGTTCATGTCTGTGCTACATCCACTTTTCGTTCTGGCCTCTCGTGACAGCAGTAATGCAACAAGGTTAATAAGCGCCCACTTTATAAGAATTTTATACTTGCGTATATACCCAGTCAGCAAAGTCTGTTCGAACAGTTTTTACCAAACGTTTGCTACAAATTTTTGTCAGCAGAAAGACTGCAGATTGTATACAAAGTCTGTTATATCAGATAATGATAGCAGAATGCCAGCAGAAATATTACAGAACCTGCTGACATAATTTGACAACAGATCAGTAGCAGAAACCGAGCAGGATTTGCACAGAATTATCATAGCAGATTGGCAGCCGAAACCAAGCAGGATCTGTGCAATGCAGTTCGATGCCAGATTGGCGGCAGAAACCGCGCAAGATCTGCGCGCGCGCAATCTGACGACAAATTGGCAGCAGAAATCGAGCAGAATATGCAGCTTTTAGCTATTTATATAATTTATTGAAATAATATATTTTATTCGCTTACCGCTATGCGGCGCACTATTCACTTTGTATACTCGTATCCAAGTTCTTGTCATGAGTATATATAAAGCTTGCAAAATGGGGCTAATAATATATGTAATTATTTCCATCAGTTTAATTTGTTGCGGCTGCGATTGCGTTTGTGATTGTGATTTGCTTCGCTCCAATCATACTTGCAATTGGTGCTTTCTGATTGGCTGAAGCAATCGCAATCGCAGCCGCGAGCCGATAGTGTGATTCGGGCTTTATGTCGACAGGTTCTGCCGACAGAACACAAGCTTAATGCGGACGCAGTTGAGACCAATCTGCTGCAATATTCTGCTTGAATCTGCTCGCAAATTGCTGGCAGACTGCTAACATTTTGCTTACTGGGTACATATGTAGATATATATGTTTAAATTATAGTTAAAATTGTATCTGCAATTAAATATTATATGATGATCAATAATACTAGGATAATAGATAACAAAGTGAATAAATACAAAATACGTCAGACGGATGCCTGCTAGACTTGATGATTTGTTGCTTTGTTACTATCGATACTCCGTGTATCATAATCTTGATTTCCATTTTTTTTTCTTCTGTAAAAAACTAAAGACATAAATATTTTAAACATATTTCTTAAAATATAATCACATTTAATAAATAAATGTATGTAATGATGTATCATAAACTTTAAAAAATAGTAAAAAAAAAAAAATCTTCAGATTGGAACCCCGATCTGCGTCGTGAGAGATCAAGCGTTTTCCAATCATCCACCGCGCACTATTGAAATAAACATCAATGTTATCGGTACTTGATATTTACGTAAGATTATGTTAATCCCTTTTTAAATTAAAATTATTATTGATTGGCTTTTGCTTTTCTGCTTTCTGCTTTTCTGCCAAGGTGTGAATTCTCCTTTACATGAAGCGCGGAAACGCGGATTAGCGTAACGCGGAACGAAAAGGGAACCAATGGCAAGCGTAACGAAAACTGCAGAATGCTCGCGATTGGTTCCACTCTCGTTCCGCCTTACGCTAATCCGCATTTCCGCGGTCCATGTAATGGCACCCAAAGTGTGAACACGTGTCTGTCTTGAGTGCCTCTTGTTAACTCGTACAATAATAGTTATAATAGCCTTTTTTAAGGCTCTCTGCTTCTTTAACAATTATGCTAATTTGCTCCGATCACATCGAGAACTGTTATCTCCGGTTTTGCTTGCACGCTTGTTCTTCTCGCGTTTTCGAATGAACGGGTTAATCCAAACCCAATCAATTAATCACTATATTTTATTATGAATTCAAGTCTTTTATTAACAGAGACGTTGCAATGACGTCATTAATCTTTTCAGAACGATTAAACCTGCTACATTCGAAAACGCTATTGGTGTGACCTGCCTGCTTCTGTGGTGCGCAGTAATTCGTCATCTTAGTCGGCCGGTCTCCCGGTCAGGTTTTCTCGACCGCAAGCATGTCGATCCAGGATCCCTCTTTTAAACCAAAATCTGTAACGACAGACGCTTTAACTAGTACTGTTAATAATTTACTGACGGATAATGACGAAGACAAACTCGACTCAATCGCATCTTCTCTTTCCCCTTTCCCCCAGAGTCCGATGATGCAATGGAGACGGAGATTGAATCGATTAATAATATTGCAATATTAATATTACTGTTTTAAAGAACACCCTTCCGCCCAGTGAAATCTGTGACGCTCAGAGACTGATAAGTCAAAAATTAAAAAGCGCAAGAAATTGGAGAAGGACAAAGTGCTTCCTGCTTTAAGTAATGGTAATGAGACGAGGAGAAGGATGGTCTGCACCCAGGTAAGCTTCCTTCCTCTAGTTCTCTTGGTAATAAGAACGGACTTGACTTCTCGTCCCTTACGGACACGAACAGATATGACAGAACCTCGCAAGGTCCTTTTGACGTAGTAATACAGACCCCGGAAGGTTCATCCTCTTCGATTGACCCTATCGCTGTTGGTCGTCTCTTATATTCCATCTCCAAAAAAGAAATTTTAGAAATAAGAAACTTATGGCTCCTCAAGGATGAGTGGCACCCGTTTGACCACGTTAATATTGACCACGGTCCCAACTGACCACGTTGAGATTGACCACGTTACGATTGACCACGTTGCGATTGACCACGTTGATATTGACCACGTTGAGATTGACTACGGTCCCGATTGACCACGTTGAGATTGACCTCGTTGATTTTGACCATGGTCCCGATTGACCACGTTGATATCGACCACGGTCCCGATTGACCACAGTCCCGATTCACCACGTTAATATTTACCACGGTTCCGATTGAAAAACCATGTAACATACACCCACACACACATGCGGGGGGTGCAAGGGGGGCCTTCGGCTCCCCTCCCGGATCTCCTCCGCCAGTCAGGCACAATGGAATCCAGAAAAGCTTCAAATAATCTAATTTCTAACCCTATTTTTAAAGCTAAGAAATACAGTGTTTTTATTCCTTTGTTTACAACGAGAACAACGAGGAAGGGCATTATTCGCAATGTTCCCCTTGACCTCTCTGACGAAGAGATTTGTAGAGGTATCAACAGCAAAGTGGTAATTACCTCTGTAAGAAGGCTAAATAAGAGAATTAGGAGGAGTGTCGAAGTCTCATCTCTCCCTACAGCAGATCAGGAATCAGATCTGGTCACCTCCAAAACTATATCGATTATTTTCAAGGGACAAACTCTGCCAAAGTATATATATTTATATATGGTCAGACATTCTGTCGAACTTTTTGTCTCTAAGACTTCTCTTTGCTATTCGTGCCTCCGTTTCGGTCACCTGAAATCCCAATGCAAGGACCATTCTCGCTGCCAGCATTGTGGGAACAAAGCATATGAAGAGGCAAATTTATGTCCAAAAAAGATGGTTCCCTCTTCTGCATAAATTGCAATGGCCCGCATAGAGTCACAAGTTTGAGTTGTCCGGAGTATATTACTTAGAAAAAATCAGGGAACTTGCAGCACACGAGAATATCTCTCTGGCAGAGGCCAAGGGACGAATTAGAGGTAACACTAATGTAATTCCTAACCCTGTTTATAATTTTAGCGAATTCTCATCCCTGAGCGGCTCTCCACCTTCCACTTCTTTCCCTTACCTTTTTCCCTCTTTTTCCCCGCTCCCCTCTTCCTTTTCAGCTCCTCCCTCCCCCTTTCCCGAATCATATTCCCATGTTTTAAACTCTAACATCTCTTCGCACAAGAAAAAACTGTCAACCTCAGCTCCACTCCATATTTCATCACCTATATCGTCTCCATTTGTATCCCATCCCTCACAAAAATCCTCGAACAGCACCTTTCTTTCCCTCCCGTCCCTTCCTCGTTCTAATCCCAGAGTTTCCCCATACTCCTCCACTAATCTCATCCCCGTTCATAATTCCTTCCTTATATCCCCTAATGGAAGGCTACCTTCCTTCTCGGACAATGGCATAAGGGCCAGACACCCTACTTCCATCTATCCTTCTCCACCCCAATCATCAAACATTAATTTTAAGCTCAGCTCCAATCCAGAGTTATATGACCAACTCTTCAACCTCATGAATTTAATTATGGAAACACTTTCTCCCGTTCTCAAACTCCTCGGTCTATACGATGCAGTCTCGGAATATGAGTTCATTCCTACAATCATTGAATCCGCGCAACGCCGCGTCCAATCCCTCATTTTCAAATGCCAGATTTAATACGGAATAA